TAATAATAATGCCGAAGCTTTGCCATTTCAATCCTCTGTCACGATGTCTTTTATTCTTAGATTCAGAAGTTTCCAGTTTCCATGTATTCCCTCTGCCATTGTTTGTACTGTCTTTGATAAGTTCATTGTGATTACAAAAAATTACGTTATCAAAATTATTCGGAACAATGAACGTTGTGTTGAAGACAAAGCGGCAGCTGCATTCGGTATCGAATTACTTGAGTAACTTTACTCGTGGAAAGTTGTTATTTTGTGGCTTCCGAGAATATGTGACCGAGCGAACTATAATATACTTAAATTTAAACACAAAACCATTCGAGAACCAATATACTGACAATGAACTAGCCAACTAATAATAAACATTGTAATAAAACAAAGAAATAGAATCAGGAAATGTATTATGTTGGATTTTAGTTGGAGGGGTTATCAGTAGTGTAATACAAATCAAAACTAGTTGGTATTGGTAATTTGCCTTGAGGCAAGTTATATGAACTTCCCGATATGTGTAATTAATCGTATTAATCATTAAAAAATAAATTAAGTTATGAGTGATTAAAAGTATTCCGAGTGGATGTATTATACATATTCGAAAACGAACAAACACGTTAACTCGGAGTATTTTCTAAAAGCAAATGTTCATAAATCAATAATTTTTATAATTGAACCAGTTTCCGTAGGACTTTAATGGTTTATTATGTGCATTGGGACCAAGTACTCTATCGTTATACCAAGTCTAATTGTAATTTTAACAAACGTCAAAAAAACTACTCATTTTCTCAAACTTCGATGAATTTTTAATATTAAACTACTTGTCGTAAGGTCGTAATATTTCAGTAGGTTCCATAAGACCATAATATATATTAACACCAAAAAAAGTTCCATAAAAATTGGCTTAATTTTTTTTTCAACAGTTAATTACAACAAAGTGGCTCGGTAGATTTTCAACTAAAACTAATCAGTCTCATTCCCAACTAATACCTTTCGAACAGTTTTTGATATTTTAAAATCGATTCGGTAGTATGAGCTTAAATGTGGACGGAAAGTTTAACAATTTTTTTCCAATTTTCAAAGAAACGGTTTGGCTGATCGTCGCACAAATAATAGTCCTCATCGAGATACATCGAATGACTTACATTTTTAAACGGCTGAACTGAAATCCGTCCAAATCTGTTACCAAATTACGGCAAAAAATCTGTTCACACACACACTCACATACACACATACTTTTTCCAAATTTGGTCTTATCTCGAAACGTCGATAAAACATAAAATTAGCAAATCGGATTTTTTAATGATAACTAAAAAACTAAACTTCTTCTTCGGGAAGTTAATAAAAAAAATATATAACAGTTGAATTTTACTAATTGAAATGCCTATATTTACTTGAAAACATATTATGATCTATATTTTCAAGTGAAAACTGATGTCACTGCTGCTTGATAGTGTCCGAGACAGGCAATGAACCTAAAACAATAATTCGATGTCCGCTGGCCACTGGAAAGCCAAATTGATAAAAATGATCAGTAGTCAGAAAAGTTCTCAAAAGAAGTTGTCAAAATATTAATAACACTCCTCGTTAAGGAAAATAAATCTTATATATAAAAATGAATCGCAAAATGTGTTGGTAAGCGCATAACTCAACAACTCTGGGACCAATTTGGACAATTCTTTTTTTAAAATGTTCTTTGATGTCCAAGGATGGTTCTTACGGCGAAAAAAATCGAATAATTTCCGAGAAAACCCTAAAAACAGCCCTTTTCTTTTTTCTCATACAAACGTTTTCTAACTAAAACGTAGAATCAATTTGAGTTTTATTGCTATTATATAAAGTTCATGTTAAATTACAAGCACTCACTGTATAATCTTTCTAAACGATTATGCGGATTTTGATAAATATTTCTGAAGTTTTTTAAGGAACTTTTCTAGGATGTATGTGATTATAAAGTACTGGGATGTATGTGCAATATTGTAGAAATAAGTGGAAAAAATTGCTAAAAACGACATGTCATTGTTTGCATTGAAAATAAATGAAAACTATGATCTGCCAAAAATTTCAATTTACTTATGAACCTAGACAATATTAGAATATGTATAATAATTTTATGATTATGAATAAGAAAAATGAAAAGTCTACATTATTATTGCCAGAAAAGCAGCTAAGATTAAAATAATATAAAATACAGTATATGTATGGCAGATTGAATTATACACATATGAATAAATATGACAAATTAATTCACTTAAAATATTAAATTAAGTATTAATCAGCCTACCTTTAATGCGATGCATGCGAAAAATACGAGCGCACGTCTTAGGGGCGCCAACACAAGATTCGGATATTAAATTTTCAATCTAGATTTTTTTAATGTATAATTTTTTTGCATCTTTTACTAATCTTTCCACAATATTTTTAAAATTCGTAAAATTTTCACTTTATAACAACAAATGGGAAAGTAAAGATGAATACATACAATTCGGCTCTTACGATATAGATTGGGAGAAGTTTAAGATGCAATTTTGGATATATTAAATAATAAAAAATTAAATTAATTTAATCCAACATGAATTACCAGTCTTATGTTATGGTTATGGTTATGTTATACCGTTTAAAAAACTTTAATTTCCAATATAGTGTGGGAATTGAGACTCATCATTTTATTTAAACCAGCTCTACATTTAACACTGCTCATATTATAAATGATTATGCATTTTGGCGGGAAGAGTAATTTTAAAAAAATATTATTTTTAGGTAAACGGTAAATATTAGTATATTACATTAAAAAATTGTAGACATGGGTACAGGACAACGTCTGTCGGGTCATCTAGTTATAAATAGATAAATAAACATATTAACCGCAAATATAGCCACACTGATATTTTCAGTAAAGAAGAAAAAGTAAGTGTTTCATTTTTATTTGCTTTCTTGTGATTACTGCGATCAGTCAGTGGAACTGATTGCTCTGTAAATAAATACAGGAGCACTGGGTGCAAATGAAAGCTTATTCTGTAAAAATCTATTTAATAAAATGGTCACGATGTACATAGTCAAAAACTATTGAAGTGTTTTAAGAAATGACCCAGCGTAGTTATTGAAATCTAAAACAATCCAAAAATAATTTTTCGTTATATTTTACGTATCAACCATTTCAAGAAAAAGTGGAATTAATTAATTAGTTTCAAGAGGAACGATTACATGGTAGTTTGTGAATTAGTTTAGTTTCGTTTATTTTTAGTGTTATAGTTTCCACATGTTTAGTGTATCATATATGAATCTGGTTTTTTACTATTCTAATCCAAAACATCCGAAATGTATATATTAAATTTTGACTCTTGCCATCTTTAAAATTACAAATAATTATACGGTAAAGCGGGGTTTAAAGGTCTGCGGCATACATAAACAAGTATAAAGGTCTGCGGGTATATAATTAATATTAGTCAGTACTTAGTCTTTTATCATATTCGTACAATTTATATATAAATCAATAATTTTCAGCAAGTCTGCCTTAATATATACTGCAAATTTTTTACGAATTAAAACTTGTCATTGCTCATATTTAAGTGGAGCAGCATATGTTTACTTAAGTTATTGATTTTTTAAATGGATTTCCATATTATGAATTAATTTTAATTTCTTTATCTATGGATTTAGTTTTTCAAGTACAAATATGCTCAACTTACCCGTTTTACCTCAGAAGTCATGTCTGCATCATTCATTTTTAAAACGATGAATGGAATGAGTGATTATAGTAGTTTCACTAGATTTTCTCTTGTCTGTCACGTGCAATAAATAAATGATCCGAAATAATTGTAATGGTTTTATTTTCAAATGACACGCGAAAAAATAAAGAAAAGTTCACTAAAATTAATTTAATATTTAGTTAAGAAAAAACTTCATTTACTCATAAAAGAGTTCGATTTATTTTGCTCGAGGAATGCCTTTCGATAATTGTAGATAAAACTAGTTGAATTTTATCTTAATGGTAACAATTAATGGTAACATTTTTTACTGCTCATTTAGGTTAAGAATGTATTTAGGTAATTATTAATTAATTTTTGTGAACAATCCTCAAATCCATAAATTTAGATAGCAAAACTGTTATAAAGAAGCACTTTTTTGATTTCCAATCCCAAAGATTTGTCCGATCGTCCAATGCAATTGTTTTGTAGACTGCTTTTAAAGAAATCAATTGGTCATTTTTAAAAACGGCGTTTTTCATCAAAATTCTTCAAAAAAAAACTCAATATTTAATTATGAAGAAACGGCCCGGCCGATCTTTATCAAAAATTTCAAAATTTTCAAAATTTTCAGGTTTCAAAAAATTTTAATTTTTTTTTCAAACTTTAATTTTGGGTACGGAGAGTTCGAGCAATTTGCCTTAAGAGACGATGTCATGCGCAAGTTTTAATATAGTGT